AAATAAGGAAATAAGACATTCCAATTATTCATTCTTCTGATACTAAAGACTTATGATTTTGGCAGAGATCTATTAGTCCCTTGAACTCTGATATATAGCATGCCTACAGAGCTATGCCTATCTAAAGGAAAGCAGCAGCTGTCTGAGGCTATTATTCAAGAATAATGCCTGAGAATAAATCATTGCCTTTTCAGAGGCTGCATTTTTCAGATAACTACAATTCCTGCTCTTCCTGCCCCATCCCTAAAAATATGAGGTGGCACACAAAAGAGAGCTGTTTGCAAGAAGAGAGACATACGGAGCGCTCTCTTTCAGCAAGCTGAAGTTTTTGTTAAAAAAAAAAGTTAACGAGTAAGCCGTAAACAAATGCAAACAACTTTAGAAGCAGATGAATTCTGAACTTTAAATTGTGTTAAAACTTTCCATCCATTCCACCATAGTAAGAGCTGTCAGTTCTCACAAGGGGCCCAAAACAAGCTATTCTCAAGGACCAGTGCAGACATATTTTCTGTACAGTATTCAAAATACTGTAAACTATCTATTAACATATAATTTTTAATGTTCCTTCATAAAGATGTTTGTCATACTATCCATGGGATGGTTGTTGCCATGTGGTTCTAGGAAACAGTATATCAAGAAATGGCAACACTCTTCCAGCTAGTACAGAAAGCAGCATGACACTAGCTCCACAAGATGCTGCTTAAATATTGCTTCTATGTACACTACAAACTTACGTGAGTTTATACCACTTCCCTCCAAAGAATTCTGAATTTATGAAGCATGAAGATTCTGTTAGATATCCCCAAACACCACACCCAAAACTACAAACATGGTGGAGACCACAAGGAAAGGAGCTCTGGTGCATACTATCAGCACCTGAAATAACAGGGTCCAGATAGGAAAATGAGGGAAAGCCATCAACAGACCCTGTACGCACACAACTACCAGACAGCTTATGTACAGAAATATTACAGAAGAAGGGGCTGGTGTGGAAGCAGGGTGTGAGATGATGGTGACTGCAAGAGATGAAGGCAGTCGTCCTTGGGCAGCACTGAGCAACCAGGAAGAACTCAGATGGGAGAGTAAAATATAAAACAAAGAAACCCTGACCAAGCCACTCCTTGCCGCTGAAAAGACCTGGAGCACAACAAAGGACTCAAGCAGTCAAAAGTCAGAGAACACAAGCCAAACAAAAAGCCCTGAGAGCAGCCTATGAAACAGAGGAATGGAAGATCTGGCAGTTGGAAAAGCAGGGAGGACTAGCATCTACTCAGAAATAAGGAACCAGCATGTGTACAGCACAAATTTATGAAAAGGCAAACCACACACCTATGTATGTCTACTCAGGAGCAAGTCCCTGTACAAACAGGTTGAAGTGGAAGCAACAGTGGCAGCTGCCCTGAAAGCGCGGGCGTCCCTAAGCACATGACAGACTCTGACTCCCCAAGAAAACAGCCCAACTCTTCCAAACTTACCCTCAAAAAGGGCAGTGTGGAAAAACTGTCTTCCAACCCTCACAGAGGCACCAGCAAGCTGCATTTCTACTAGAACCAGCCCTGGAAGAAGGTGGAATCGCCAATAAACTCTGTAGACCTGGGTGGGAAGAGCATGGGGGATCGCCCATAAACTCTGTGGACCCGGGCGGGAAGAGAATGTGGGGAGCAAGTGGTGCTGACCAACTCTCCCCCAAAAGGTCCACCAAGCCAACCAACAAAACACACACTACTTTGAAGAACCCCATCCTGACCTCCAATGGTAACAACTCAGAAAAAAATGAACTAAAAAGTCATGGTGACCTTCAACGCCTGTGGGATGTTTACAGATCAATATTGCCTTCACTTGCAGCCCTCTAAGAAAAAATGAGAACACTAGAGCAGCATGTGTCCACCCCGCAAGGAGACAAAAGATGACAAAGAACTCTTAGAAGTTCAACAGCAAGCTGAGGCAAAGGCAGAGAATCCTGAAGGGAAAAAAGAAGAAAACTTCCTGGAAAAGAATGACTGATAAATGCAGAAGGTCTAGAAGACAAACTGCAACAGTGGAAACAGGAGAACTCTCTAACAACTTTCAGTTATTTGAGGATGAGAATGCTCGTCCTGCTGTGGAAGAAGGGCAAGTCATAGAGAGCAACACTGACCAAGAGGAAAGCTGTCATCCAAGAAGTGGCAATGATACCAGGGCTTGCAAAAACAAGACGAGTGTTACTTGTGGGAGACTTCCTGCTGCGAAGGGTGGAAAAACATGTATGTAGGGATGACCTTTGGAGATAGCATACCTCCAGGGATAGGTATGCTATCTTCCTGGAGGGCAGATTAGTGATATAACCAATAGATTGCCAAGCTTACACAGCCCACTGACACATATCCCTTCCTTCTTATACAAATGGGAACAAATGACATGGGCAAATGGAGGTTTGACCAAATCATGCCAGACTTTAGGGAGGAAAGTCAAGAACTCTGGTGTCCAGATAGTTTTCTCTTCAAACCTTCCCGTTCGTAGAAGAAGAACAAACAAAGGAAGAAAAATACTCAAAGTGAACACCTGACTACAAAGGTGGTGCCAAAGAGAGAGATTTGGATTTCAGGACCACAAGCTATACTTCCAGGAAGATGGTAGTATAGCCTGTGGCAAGTGATGGGTTGCAACTCACAAGGACTGGAAAGGATATGTTTGGTCACAGCATGAAGAAGTTTATCAGGAGGGCTTTAAACTGAATTGTACAGAGGAGCGAAAAGTACACCTGACTGTAGCATCAACGGATGAAAGCTTATCCACTGCAACAGAAAAAGAAGCTCTAACAAGTACTCAATAATTGTCTTCCAAAAAAGTAGGAAGAAAGTCAGAGTATAAAGCACAGGATCTTTGATGTCTATATACTAATCCGCAGAGTATGGGTAACAAACAACATGAATTTGAACTCTTAATACACGAAAGCAAGTATGACTTGATAGGTAACATTGAAACCTGGTGGGATGACTCCCATAACTGGAATTGATGGAGATAAGCTATTCAGGAAGAACAGAAGACACAGAAATGGAGGTGGAATCACACTATACATTAAAATACATATCTCTGTAAAGAAATACAGGAGGATGAGTCTAGCAGTCCAATCAGGAGAATCTAGATTAATAAAAATTGAACAAAGAATAAAAGGAACAACGGTTGGAGTCTATTAGGATGTACTGACTCCATAAAGGAAGTCATAGCCTTGAATCTGTAACAGCTAAGTAGGGATGTCACGGATACAACATTTTGGAAGGCTTTCATTCTCAGGGCTGTCATAAGTTGGGGATGGCACATAACAACAAACAAGGAGTTGATCCTAAATTGCATTTCTAACCCATTTTTTTATTTGAATTATACCTGGTAGAGAAATGATGCAATTATAAACACAAGGTAGAAAGGCTCTAGTGGAAATTAAGAATTGATTGAATTAATTTTCAGGAGTGAAGAAAGATATATTTCAGTACATTGCAAAGCTCTGAAACTTCCTTCAGAAAAATTTGCAATCCTCATTTTGCTGTAGCAGATTCTGGAATTGACAATAGAAGCATGAGGTTAACAGGTCCTTGCCATTTTCTTCCTTTTCTTTAAACCATTTACTTTAATATGGACATGTATTTCAGAACTAAAAACTCAGGTGCTGCATGGACACATGAACATGTATTTTTAAATAACCAAATTGTAAAATCATAAAATAATGTATACAGTTATTGGTAGCTGGTGCCTAATGGTTCATCAAAGGTGGAACCAAGGATTACTTGGTTCCATGATTACATGTTGTAAAGTTGTAGTTGTCAGACTACAACATGGGGGAGAGAGCAGCTTGATCTCTCTTCCCCATCACTTATTTCACTAGAGGAAAAGGCCTCCAAAAAAGGAAGTAGCCATACCTCTCCTCTCTTCCCCTACCTGTGTGAATATCAGGAAGTAAGCAAGTTTAAACTTCCTCCTAATGCATGTTAGTTCTAATCAGACTGAATCACTCCCTCCTCTTTTGGGGTAAAATTCAACTCATACTCTCTTCTCTTGTATGCCTACTTGTTTTGTCATCATCTGCTGCTACTTTCAATAAAATAAGATGGCCCAAGAACAAATAAAAAGGAAGAGAAGGAGAGGAGCACTGATACAGTCCAAGCCTGTTTGTTTATTCAGAATAAAACACATAGAGTTCAATGGAATTACTCCTAGGTTTCTGCTACTAGGATTGTAGTCTTACAGCCTGATCCTATATATGTTTACTCAGATATGAACCCACTGATATCAACAGTTTTATTCCCACGTGTGTGTTTAGGATTGTAGCCTTATGCCACAAACATAACCTCAATTATTTGTGGCAACTTCTGAACTTAGTACGGCATTCTCCCAAATAAGCATGAGAGGCTAGGAGTTATTCTCTTCAGGGTTGTTGCTTTCCTACAAATTAGAGGCTGAGTGTCCTCTTCTTCCAGACAACATCAGAGAGGTAATTTACCTTAAGGGGAAAAAATGGGTTTCTGCCTCTGACAGCTAAGGCAAATAGAAACATGATTAATACAGTTTGCCACCATTTTACCTTAAAGTGTTTATTGTTGAAACAAACCTATGGTATTGTTAAATCCACTTGTTATCTGAATAAAATGCCAGCTATAAGTCACATTTTCAGTTTTCCAAAGGTTCATAACAGACAGATAGATGTGCAGAAATGGATAGGCAGCTATCCATTTTGTGAATTTTCAAGGAGTTCAAAGAAAAATGTCATCTATGGGAAATGGTCAGGGCATTAGTTGAGGAATGAAAGTGAAACTGCTTCCTTATATAAAATATGAGACACCTCAGAACATTATACAGTAAAAGCATTTGTCCAAGAAGCACCACAGGTGAAATATAAGTCCTTAAATGAAGTGTGGCATCAAACACATTTTGAATGTTAGTAAAGCAAAAACTATTTTTAATTCTGATTACTCAAAGTGATAGTTACAGTGGAATTTTTAGCAATTATTATTGCATACTTTACTCACAACATTCACTGTTGTCTGTTGGGTGTCTCCGATTATCCTTCACTCTGAAGAACTTGCAGATGTTGCTGGATTGTTCACAGGCCTCAAGTGGTGCGCTCTTTCAAAGAAAAAAAAACTTTTTAAAAAGTAGTAAGAGATAAAATGAAGGATAAAAATCTTTGCATTATGGTTAAACAAAAATGTTTCATATATTTCCCAAAGCATAATCAGCAAATGTAATTGTAGTTGAAGGTGTCACTCCAGAATGCTCTTGAAGCCCCATTCTTCAACGTTGCTATTTGCTGTGGTTCAGCAGATCTTAGTTCCAAAAACTACAAATGGTAATGGTCTACAATGCTGTCTCCAGGTTTCTGGGGTCCCTTGGGCAAAACATTCTCAATGGGACCCTTTCCTTCAGTAAGTATACCTTCTCACCACTATTATCACTAGCTGCTATTGCTCCTCATCCCTCACTGTTACCACTTGCTTGCTTGACATGCAGGAAGCCAGTGAGAAATCCAGCAACGGCATCTACTGATCCTCCATGTCACCACCAACTTTGCCTGGGTAACAGCAAGATGGTGAACCAGCATTATGCGATGATGATGAGGAGAAGTAAGTGCAGAGAACTCTTGTTAGTGGATCCTTCCTGGGCCGTAGGATTTTCTGGGTGTACTCTACTTACCCTTAATTCTGTACCTGATGGCCCATTTTGCCCATCACAATAACACAGGTTATTGTGCTAGTGACATTGCCTGATTGTGGTGGCTTTCAAGCAAAAATGTGTTTTCTGTGGTATGCAAATAAAGAACTTGGGCTTGTTTCAAAAATCTGGATTACTGTGATGTGAACTGGGCCAAAGTGGATATTAATTTGCAATTTCTAAAAGAACCTTCTGGATTTCTGCATTACCACATGTGTGGTAAACATATGTACACATATGGATGTAAAACAGCAAAAGCACCCACAAGGGCAGGGCTTTACACTCTATCTGTTCTTTGTTAAGTACACAGGTTTAAGGATCCACCTACACATAAACCTGTGTTCTGTAAAAGCTGTTATTTGGAATATGTCACAAGTTTGCATGGTACTATACAATTTAAAGCAGTAAGTGTATTGTACAATTTTGCAGTGCTGTGAAAATTTCCACTTGGCTATCATCCAGTCCCACCCACTAAGAAAAACACACACAGTATAAAGTACAACTGTAGTTAAAGAGCATTTAGCATGTTCACAAACAGATTTCTAGCTTCATTCTCTAGTAAGAAGTATTTTCGATAAGTGGCATTCTTCTGCATGGGCTGAACCATGATCCTGGCTTGCTCGCTTATGTTTTCCTAGACCCAACCTATGCCTATTTTTGTTGTGTTATATCTCATATCTTTATGACACATAATCAGATTTTCAGGAGCTACAGCTAGCGGATGTGAGAAACATGAAAAGATATACCATTGCAAGTAGCAAACAGAAATTTCACCCTCAGATCATGCCTAGCCCTAGCCCTTGCCCTAGCCTTCCCTTACAGGTGCATTATACAGAGATGGATGATTGAAGCATGTAGAAAAATAAAGATCCTAACAGGAAAACAATGTTTTCTATTCTGTCTCAAAATGTTGCATAAATTGAGTAAGTTTATACAAATGCTTCACACTTAGACCTCATTGCAGAATTTGCCTTTTAGTCTGAATCATTTAGGGATATTTTTAGTATAATAGTGTAGACTTCTGACAATCTATAAAATATTTTTCCTAAAACATTAAAATGCTGTTATGTTGAACAGGAACACACCATGTCCTTACATGTAGGAAATCCCAGGTTCAATCCCAATCATCTCTAATACTCAGCACTAGTCAGACCTCACCTGGAGTACTGTGTCCAGTTCTGGGCACCACAGTTTAAGAAAGATGCAGGCAAGCTGGAAAGGATTCAGAGAAGGGCAACAAGGATGATTCAGGTACTGGAGGCAAAGCCCTATGAGGAAAGATTGAGATAATGGGGCGTGTTCAGCCTCAGGAAGAGAAGACTGACAGAGATATGGTAGCATTCTACAAGTACCTCAAAGGCTGCCATAAAGAAAAAGGACAAGATATTTTCTCATTCATTTCAAAGTGAAGACATGGAATAACAGGCTTAAGTTAAAAGAAAGCAGATTCAGACTAGACATCAGATAGAATTCCCTGTCTGTCAGAGTTGCACAACAATGTAACCTATTACCTGGATAAGCTGTGGGCTCTGTTTAGACAATTAGCTAAATGGGATGGCCTGACCCCTTCCAACTCTACCATTCTATGATTCTAAAGGATAAGCATGATGGGAATGACTTTTACCTGTAACCCTGGAGAGATCCCACAAATCACAGTAGAATTACTGAGTTAGATAAACAAGTGGTCTGCCCTGGTACAGGAAGTAATCAACAGGGTGCTTAAGACCCTGCTAATTCCTTGTTGCCCTGCTGTTTCTGCTGCACATGTGGCCCATAACACCTGTAAGCAGTATGACATGAGGGGAAATGCTAGTTTCTACAATGGGTGAATCAGTGGAACTCACATAAGGAAGCTAGAAAGGAATGTTTTGACTCATTTTGGGACTTCCTCTAGGAAGTGCTAAGTAGTGGATACCGTTTCCATCCCTTGCAGAAAGCATTTCGCTGGGTTGGATGTACTCCACTGAATATTGCCATTGACTGACTGTACTGTACTTTTATACTGCTTGTAATCCTAAAATTCCTGTTCCTTTGCATCTTACATATATTTTGCAAGGAACACAAAAGCACAAATCTGAAAAACAGCCAATCGTTTATAAGATGGCTCCACTCTCCTAGTATTTACAGTGCCTCCTCTTACTGTTCTGGGATGTACTCTGTAATTTGGTTGCTCTAATTCACAATTCACCTATGCTAATAAAACACTGTTATGAATGCCTGCAACTATGTTCCCATTCCATTTTCCATATTCTTCCATCGCTAAACCTTCATTTGTTTTAGAACATTATTTCACTTCCTCTTCACCATCACATGAAATAAGCCTTGAACAGGTTTACTCATGTTTCACTGTGACTAGGATGAAATGAAGCTAGACTTTTTCAAGCACGTGCCATTTATTTAATATGCACATTATGTGTCCCTTTGAAAAGTTTTCAACAAGTCCATAAAACAACAGGGGAAACAACTGACAAATGTGTTACCTTTACTTGAAAAATAAAAGTAACACATTTATGAATGCACACACTGATTCACTGGGGAAACTGTCAGGGATTATCTTGTAAACTACTGATATAAATCACAAAATTTCTCCTGATTTTCACAGGTCTGGCCTTCACTTGTCCTAAAAACTGTAACTGTTTTTGCACTACGACTGCTATTGAAAGCAAGAGAGGTTATATTGCAATTGCTGAAGGCAGTTAGACACAGGAGCTACAGAAATTCAACAGGCTTAATGCAGTCAAGTGTACACCAGGCTTATGTAAACTTGGTATCATGTTGCACACTGGCCAGGGTTTTGTTCAACTCTTTATACTGTTAGTATTTCAAGTACGAACCCTACCTGTATACTATTATCATCTAAGGACCTTTTCTAGGTGCCTCTTCTGAGAGAAGTCCAGGAGATGGCAGCAAAGGAGAAAGCCTTTATGGGGTTAGCCTACTGAATATGGAATGCTCTCTGCAGGAAAGTCCAGCAAACATTGTCATTCTTTTGCAGTGTACTTCCAGGTACTCCCAGGCATTTGACAGCATATGATAAAGTTTTATCCAGTCCTAGGATTTTATAACTGATAGTTTAAAATCATTTCTGTATGCATAAGGTTTTTATATTTTATATTGGATTTTAAAGATTTTAATCTTCTGTAAATTAGCCAAAGATCTTGGATTATTGGATACTATAGAAATCGAATTATTATTAATAATAATGACCTAAGAAGCACCTTCCTGGACCAAACTAAGGTTCTATCTAGTCCAGCATTCTGTTCACACAGTGGCCAACCAGCTGCCCACAAGCAGAACGTAAGTGCAACCACACACTCCTACCCAAAGGTTCTTAGCAACTAGTGCCCATAAACATACTGCCTCTGATCTGGAAGTAGCATATAGCCATCAGGTCTCATAGCCATTAATAGCCTTCTGTTCCATGAATTTGTCCAACCCCCTTTTAAAGCCATGCAAATTATTGACCATCACTGCATCTCGTAGAAGTGATTTCCATAGCTGAACCATGCAGTGAGGGAAGAATCAGTTCCTTTAATCTGTCTTGAACCTCTTGCTAATAATAATGTTACTATCACTTTGAGACTACTCGTATGATTAAACATTAACTTGCTAGGATCAGCAGAAGAGGCCTGGATTTCCTTCACTTAAGATGTAAAGGCCTGTACAGGGAAGTTACTTTTAAGAGACTAATGTAGCCTACCCAAAAAGAGTACCCACTGTTTTATGGGCTGCCGGCATGCTAACCTGTGCTGCATAGCAGCAAGTCCATCACTCAGAATAGCAGTCCTTCAGTGCATCACATTAAGCAGTAAATGGTCTCTTATGCAGATTCAGTAGAAGTACAGTTGCATGTAGATGATCTCTTACGTACACTATTAAGTGAATGCAACAGCCCCACAAATGTTACTTTCTATTTGTGGCAGACCATAAAGAGGAGGTAAGGACAAGAAAACCCAGGTAACAGGAATGAGAGGTGGGAGACAAAGTAGAAAGGGCAACAACACTGTATCTTAACACTGCAATTGTGCACACATGTAGGTTGCTTAAATCCCATTCATACAGAACTTCAGCTGTTGGATGGTAATAATTAATTAGGGAGCTAAGAAGCCTCTGTGCAAAATTGCAGCCTGAGCAAATCCTTCAGTGCTGTGGTCAACTGCTTTGTTGATACAACCAGTTGTTATTTTAGTAATTATAGAATCTAATATGGAAAGGATCCTAAAATCAGAATTAAAAATAAGCCATTTTTGCATCCTCCTACTCACAGTATTTAACACTTTAAAAAATGCAGACATTCTGCCAGGATAGATAATATGAGCTGTCAAGTTCAGTTCCATAATGTGCTCATTCCCAGGGGTGTTTTTTTGTTTTAGAAATATAATCTTTTTAAAATACCTCTTATTTTGCCTAAATAT